TAACTCATAAAGCTCCAAGGGTTAAGGTCTCTGGACCTCTTTGAGTATAGATCCAAAGCATAAACTCGATAAAGGACCAATTGCTCCACATAAACATACTCAAAGGAGGTTAGAAAACCCTAACTCTAAGTACCAATACAAAATCTAAAGAAGGTCCGAATAAATACTTCAAGTTAAAGTCTCTGAACTCTGAAACCACTAGAATCACATCTCCTTCGGCCTCCTCTTGCTCTTGATCACCTTCTTCTTGCTAAACAAAAGATAGAAAGATGAAATATGGCTTCTCCTTCCTCCCAAACGATCTATCTCACTTAGGGTGCTCTCAAGGGACTGGTAGCCGCAATGGAAGGCTAAGAGTGCCCTAAAATAGGCTCCAACCCCAGAGGATTAGGGTTTCATTAAACAGCGTGGACTCGCCGAGTCCAACGCGAACCCAGATCATAAACCGCGACCCTACTCGGCGAGTCTAAGCATCAACTCGCCAAGTTCCTTCACAAATTCCAAAAATAAATTACTAGAATAATATACCTGAGATTCCGGATGTTACAAAAAAAAGGAGAAAAAGTTTCTACCCTCATTAAATAGGGTTTCTACCGTTTGTAACTACGAAGAAAGGTGAAAGCTTACCATGAGGAACCCACGACCTAAGATAAGGAGAGCACAACCGTCCGATGAAATGGAAAAGGGGCCATATTACGACTCTGATTTCGAAGAAAGTGAATTAGATTCAGAATCATATAATGAATTAGAAAGGGCATTTGTTGTCGATGAAGAAATGGGTGACTATGATGAAAATGAACACACCACTTTTCCATAGTTGGAGGTACCTTTTGATGCCTTTCTTTATGATTTCTGCAATGTTCCTGTTTAAAATAAGAGGGAAAATGTTGATGATGAAGTCATTAGAGAAGAAGGTCATTCTGATAATGAAATTGAAGATGACAAGGATGAGGTTGATCAAAAACCAACCAAATATAGTGTTCATGACCCTTCTGTTCATTGGAAGAAAATGAAACCACATTTAGGTGAAAAGTATGCTAATTAAACTGAGTTAAGGTTCTGCCTGACTAATTATGAAGTTCACAATGGTTATCCAATTGAGGTGACCAAATCTTCTAGTACAAGGCTTCAAGCAAAATGTGGTTTAGACAATAAAGGCAAGAGATGTACCTTTAAGTTGTGGGCATCTTGGATGAACAAAGAGAAATCATTTCAAATTAAGGGTCTTAATAATAAGCATACTTGTGTTAGGGAGTACAAGCATGCCACATTGGTTAATCCTGACTGGATAGCCAAACAGTTCTTGGAAAAATTGTGTATTAGAACAAAAATGAAAGCCAGTGAGATGAAAGAAGAATTTTTTATGCATTGTGTCTAAGAGACAATGCTATAGGGCTAAGAAGAAAGCACATGATATTTTAACTGGAAGGTTATCATAGCATTATGCTCGTATATGGGAATATGGAGGAGAGATCATCAGATCAAACCCTGGTAGTACAGCAAAGGTTGGAGTTGATATCAAAGAAGATGGTAGTAGTGTTTTTAAAAGATTCTATGTATGTTTTAAGGCTATAAAGGATGGGTGGATTAGGGGTTGCAGGAGAGTCATTGGACTAGATGGTTGTTTTCTAAAAGGGCAATGCAAAGGGGAGTTACTCACTACAATAGGTAGGGATGGGAACAACCAGGTATATCCAATAGCCTGGGCTGTGATTGATGTTGAAAACAAGGACAATTGGGAGTGGTTTATTAAGTTGCTTGTGGAAGACCTTGGCTTAGATTTAGGTGAAGGGTTGACAGTTATTTCTGGTCAGCATAAGGAATGTTTACTCTTTTTTGTTTGTTTAATCTTTTATATATGGTTAGTCTTTTTTGTATCTTTATAGTATTTTGTATGAATGTAGGGATTAGTAGAGGCTCTAAAGGAGAAGATACCATTAGTTGAGCATAGGCAGTGTGCCAGACATGTGTATGTCAACTTTAAAAAAGGTGTACAATGGGATTGATTACAAGAGACATTTTTAGGCAGCTTCAATGTCAACCACAGAGTCATCTTTTCTTGAGACAATGGAGGAAATCAAAGAAATGAATGGGGGTGCTTATGACCACCTCATGGAAAGGAACCCAGAAAGTTGGAGCATAGCATTTTATAAGGAAGGTAGAGCATGTGAAGCAGTAGAAAATGGTATATCAGAGAGCTTCAATTCAGTAATTCTGGAGGCAAGGACTAAGCCACTTCTTACTATGTTGGAGGAGCTCATAATGTACATTATGGAGAGGTTTTATAGGATGTCTACAATAGACTTAACATGGAGGGGAGATGTATTCGCTACAATATTGACAAAGCTGGATGACTGGTGTAAAGATATGAGGTAACATTATTGACTAACATTATTTAGTATTCATTAAGATTATTCACTAACATGTATTGCATGAATTACAGGTTGTGGAGTGTTGTAGCTAGTGACACAAATGTATTTCAAGTGAGACTAGGATTTGAGTATTTTCAGGTGGACTTAGGAGAACAATTATGCACCTGTAGATTATGGGAAATATCTGGGATTCCATGTATCCATGCATGTGCAGCTATGAACCACACACAACAACAACCTGAAACACTGATCAGTTCATGGTTTTCCATAGAGAAGTTTGTAGAGACTTACAAAGGCAATATCAGGCCTCTAAATGGTAGTAAAATGTGGGCCAGGACACCATATGCCAAGCCACTGTCACCACCTGCAAAGAGGATGCCAGGAAGACCTAAAACCAGAAGAAGGAAACATGTCATAGAGAAGGATGGATAGTATAGGAAGATAAAGTTTGTTGGATGTAAAAAGATATGCCAAAACTATTGGGAGGAAGCGCATAACAAAAGAACATGTAAGAATCCAACTAAGCCCCAACCTCCAAAGGAAAAGAAAAGAAAGGGTAGGCCATTGACTAGGGATGTGGCAATGAAAAAAACAACAGCATCCACAAGTTAAAATAGTCAAAATAGTCAACACACTCAGGAAATGGATGGACAGGAAAGGTGTAACAATTAAAAAAAGGTAAGCTTTACTATTTTTATCAAATCTTTAGTGTCTACTATTGTTAACACAATTACTGTTTTGTTAATAGGGTAAAGCAAAGGCATCCCAATCTGTTAAAGAGATACATGAAGGTAGTAGCAAGGACTTTGAAGATGAAGGGATGCAAGATGTTATATTGGTACATGATTTGAAGGGGGATGCACATGCTACAGAGTTGCTTGCATCAGGATACTCAGAGGATGAGGTGTATCATGTACTATATGAACAAGATTTAGATGTTGAAGTTTTTGCTGAAGTTCCACCTATTCTTGAAACTGTGCATGAAGAAGTTCCAGAGGTTGAAGAAGTTCCAGAGGTTGAACAAGTTCCACATGTGTCTCAAGTTGACATGGTACCAGAAACAGAGGATGAAGGCGTTGCTGAGACACTTGTAACGCCCAAAAAATTTCAAACAATTTTTCACATTTTAAAAACATATTTTCATTCATAAACATTATAAAATCTCATTGTTTCACATATCAATCCATATATCACAACCCAAGATCATAACGTATAAAAACTCCTCATGTGTGTACTGATCATGTCGGCGCCTTCCCGTAATCCTCACTAGTACCTGAAACACATAACACCAAACACTGTAATCATAAATGTTTAGTGAGTTCCCCAAAATACCACATACAACACATATTAGCCACTCAAGGCTATAACTCTGTATGACCCTCTGGTCAAAGTGTCTCAGTGGGACCCTCCAGTCCCATAACTCTATGGACCCTCTGGCCCTAACTCTGTGGACCTTCCGGTCCTAACTCTGTAAAATCCGAATCACATATAGCACAGAATCACATAGATAACATATAGCATACAATATACTATGTCACATAACTCTAAATACCACTCTAGGTAAAGAATAGTGAGAACACTCACCTCGGGTAACTCGGTAAACCTCGATCTCTAAAATACTACACTAGCCTCTGCCTAATCACATAAATAATTACTCTAATTAATACAACTTCTAAAGGCTAGGCTAACCCCTCTCTATAAGTTCTCTAAGAAAGGTAAAAGACCATTCTACCCCTCTAATGGCCCATAGGTCCAAACACTGACTAAACCCTAAAAGTCAACAAAAGTCAATAGTCAAACTTTGACCTGACTCGTCGAGTGCACTCGCGTGACTTGGCGAGTACATGCATGTCCTCATTGCCCTTGGTCGTCACTCGACTCGCTGAGTCAACCCTTCACTCAACGGGTCATAACAAGTCACGAATCGCGAGGCAACCCGACTTGACTCGTCGAGTCCACTTGTGAACTCAGTGAGTTACTACCATGCCAACACTAAAATGACCTCCTGAGGTCAGATCCGCTTTCCTAAGCTATAGATATGGCTTCCCCATAACCAAAAACCACGTAAAGGTCGAAACTTGACCCACATGCAACTTGTACAAGGCTATCTTTGGCCAAAAGGCTTCTAAAATGGCAATCTAGACTCTTTTCTTCCTTAAACCAACATAAAGCGGATTATGAAAAGCTCTCTAGACCTCTATGGATCCAGATCCGAAGTCCAACACCACAAGGGACCATGAAATCAACATAACAACCTCAAAAAGGGGTATGGAAAACCCTAGATCATAGATATTAATCCCTAAACAGAAAAGGGAATTCGATTTGATACCTCAATTGTGTAGATCTGGGCTTGAAACTCTGGATCCACAACTCCCTTGACCTCCTCTTGCTTGGAACCACTTCTCATATGCTAGAACACACCAAAATCAATCAATATGGTCTTATCTCTCTATCCACTCGCTCAAGCTCTTAAGGGGGTACTCTCTCTGGACAGGTAGCCGCAAATGGAGGCCATAAAGGTCTTTAAATAGGGAACAGACCCCGAGAATTAGGGTTTCAATCCACAGCGCGGACTCGTCGAGTCCATTCTTTCCGACTCATCGACTCCGTTCATTAATCCAGTCAGCAGTCGCGGTCCTACTCGACGAATCTACGACTCAACTCGTCGAGTCCCTCTCTTTTTCTCAAAAATAAAATGATAAAATATAATACCTGGAAATTTGGGTGTTACATGCCACCATCCCAAAGGTTGATGAGAACAAGGAGGCCTTCAGAGAGAATTACTAAAATTCAGACTAGAATGAAGGATGTTGGAAAGAAGGTTGTTGGACCAGGTCGAAGTAGGTTGGACCCTGTTTCTTTGGAGTAGATTAGCGTGCAGAAGGTTAGGGGTTGATGGGCATCGTTTATGTTATCCTTTTTTGTATTAAGTAATGGACCCTTAAGTACTCCTGTTGACTATAAGTATCTTTTGTATATGGTATACCCAAACATTATTGCCCCTTTTGTAAATGGGGTGGGTAAATATTGCTAAAATGGTCAATTATCTTTTGTAAATGTTATCATTGGTATGGTGTTTATGGTAATTTTTTGTTACATAAGTAAAGGGTAGTGTTGGTATAGTGTTTATGGTCAATCATTTTTATATTTTATAATCCCAACTGTTTCATAAGGTAAGGGTATTTAGGTCCTTTTTGTGGTTACTGGTTTGTTCAATAAGTAAAGGGTAGTTTGGTCCACTAGCAACATATAGCGTCATACTTCCAATTCACTTGGTTATTTTTTCGTATTTTTCATAGCACTTTGGTCAAAATATGTGTAATGTTGGTATAGTGTTTATGGTCAATCATTTTTATCTTTTATAATCCTAATTGTTTTGTAAGGTAAGGGTATTTAGGTCCTTTCTTTTTTGGTTACTGGTTTGTTCAATAAGTAAAGGGTAGTTTGGTCCACTAGCAACATATAGCATCATACTTCCAATTCACTTGGTTATTTTTTGGTATTTTTGATAGCATTTTGGTCAAAATATGTGTAATGTTGGTATTTTTCATACTTCCAATTGTTTCATAAGGTAAGGGTATTTAGGTCCTTTATTTTTTGGTCACTGGTTTGTTACATAAGTAAAGGGTAGTTTGCTCCACTAGCATCAAACTTTCAATTCACAATCACAAACATATACACTTCACCATATATATCAATATTGGTCAACATTGGAACATACAAACTTACAAGTAGTACATCAATACATGCAGACACAAAAATGGCCAACATTGGACCTTAATTGGCATTAATTCATACTTAAAGACCTACCACAACCTCTTCCTACTTAACACTTGTACACCATCCACATCAAAATCCCTACCATGACTACTAAAATAACAAGCAAACCAATCACAACCCTAACAAGATCCATCAAACTTAATTCACCATGATGAGGGTTCCCTTTTCCCAGTCCAGTGCTTTTTTTCTTCTTTGCCATAACTTCAAACAGAAGTTCCTTATACCATGGACTTACTTCACCGTCATACCATTCAAAGTAGCCACAGTCTTCAACTTCATCGAGCCATTACCTGCACCCAAAGTATCTTCTTCCAGGATTCTTCTCACTCGTTGACATCTTCAAGGGGGCAATTACTCCACAGTAGCACGTCCTTGAGGGACCATTGTTGGACTTGTTTACCTCACTCGTTGATCCAGCTGATCGAGACGAAGACACCATTGCACAATCCTCGTGAATAACTGAGATGAAAAAGTGAAGATCGATCTAGGGTTCTAAAGGGTTGAAGTCGTTAGGGATCATTTATAAAGGCTCAATTGCCATGTAGGATCTTACGTGTATGCCACATAAACAAATGACCCACTCAGCAAAATTCAAACTGGTTTACCTGAAGGCTCAACCAGTCATATGGTTACATTAGTAAAAAATTAATAACACAATGTCAAAATCGAATTTTTGTGTAAGCAAAGTGTTTTTTGTGTCATTTACCCAGAATTTTAAAATAATAATAGGTGTTGTAATTTTGGGGCACTATTAAGATTTTTCGCTCGGGGCATGAAAATCTTATGGGCCACCCCTGCATGGTACTAGAGACGGAGGAAGACGACCAAGGAGGGCTTTTCCTCATCTGAATCGTATTTGTTATCAAAATTATTTGTCAATTCTTGATTTAATCCAGATTATTCTATTTGGTCATCATAATTGTAATCCCAATTTCTTTGAATTTTCAATTTCATCATTAAATTATGTTGTTCTTCAGCGTTAAAATTGTTTTAATCGAGCTCTAATTTGCATCTAATTCTATTCATTTGAGCTCTCGAGTTCAATGTTCGGTTTCAAATCGCAATTTCTCATCACTAACGACAATTTGAAATTTTTTAGCAATCAAAGTGCTTGGTGAAGTTCACATGATTTGATAATTTAATAAAGTCAATCTGAATTGGTATCCATAGTGTTTATGTGCTTCATTATTGATGAATCGATGTTATCCTGTGTTAATTGACGAATTGATGAATTCAATAATTGATGTTAGGCGGTAATGTATATGTGTTTTGAAGACGAAGTGGTGAAATTGGATTGAAGAAAACTGGGGTCGTTGTTGTTTTAAATGGAGAAACTAAAAAGTCAAAA